ATATATATATCCCCAAAAGATTAACTTGGCTGTGGAGGAATAGTGAAATCTCTAGTTTTATCAGGACAAACACAAGGCATTTCATTTCCCCCTACAGCTGCAAGCACCTGACATCTTCAAGAAACTGCCCTGACATGGTCTCTCATGCCATGCTTTGCCCTAACCATCCCATTTATTGTTATCTATTTCTTTGGTTTCTGACCTTTCTGGCAGAAGTAGACAAGTATCTACTTCTGCCACTGTTCACATAATTAATGGCACTAACTATTGTTATATATCTGTAACTTCCACTTACTAAAATAGTAATAAACAAATCCACCTTATGCATCATTTCACAATCCAGTGACTTAAAGGTATCACAAAATTGCAGACCTTTATCCTCAAATTAAATGAAATTAAAATTTTAAAGTTTTCCATTTCCCATCATGCCTGACTGAAGCTACTTCAGGGCATTATGAGAAATTTTAAATGATAAGCAGAAGGTTCTAGTGCTCCCCAAAAGCCTACTGCCAGTGGTAAAACTTACTGATCTGTGCTAGCTAATCTGGGGGCCCATTAGATAGGACCTTGTTTCAAATGTACAGCTGCCTTGAATGGTGAAGAACCTACGCTATAGAATTAAAGTTATAAATAATTATTCATAATGGCTGGGAGTTGTCATCGCAACATAGTTGGAAGGTCATCGTAGTTATGTCTCTGTAGGGAATTCTGAGTTTTGATAGGTGTCTCCAAATACACTCCTTGGATTCTTTGGAGTAAAATATAATAGCAAAATGTATATAATGAAAGTAAGATGTGTTGGTTAGGCATATACTCTGGAAACTGAGCTTCAAAATCTCCATGCAGTGTTACAGAGGGGGCTGTGATTTTGCACAGCTCTTGAAATGTGGAGGGAATGAGCCCCATAGCACTCTTAGATCACTGCCATTTGAGATTGCTCCTGCAACAGGCCCATGCGGAGTCTTACCATACTTTGGAAAAAGGTATTTTCCTATTGGCTGAGGAAGAATAAAGTATAAAACTATCTGTCAAGCTACACTTAAAAGCTTTCTTGTTCCAGAGCTATGAAGGAGGATGACTTGCCCATTTCATAGCATCTTTGGATCTAGATAAATATGTCTCAGTTCTAGATCCAGTTTTGTTGTTAGCCTCCTCCTCAACTGATGTTGGCTGCTACTGGGCTCGTCTTTGTTCCTTACAAACAGAAGGGTTTCCTGGTTTTTGAAAGTTCCCCCAAACCAAAGTTCACCCCATTAACTCTCCCAAAATGGCTGTATTCCCTATCTTTGAGAGATAGGCAGGATATTTGAGGAAGCGATTTCAAAAATACTTCTTAGGCAAATGTGCATATCGTCAATGTTGTTAAGGCAAGATGAAAAGCAAAAGAGCATCATTTATCAATTAATCAAATGTCAACTCCAATTAATAACAACCATCATTGCCACTTATATGAGGTGCATCTGGATTTAACCATATTTAGAATAGATCCTTGAAATTAATGTTACTGAAGATGGTCACGGTGTCAATGAATCTATCCAAATATGACTAAATCTAAATCCAACCTGTTTGGCATTAGGCTATTCAAGATACTTAGTGTTTTGATGTGTATGATAGGTATGAGTATCTCTTAGCTAAAGAGTATTTCCCTACTAATGACTTAGTAACTTCTAAAGTCATCCGACCATTGTAATGAAGACAGGGTTTATATCACTTCAGCTATTGCTGGGTGATGCTATGAAGATGCTTATAAATACCAAGTGGGGAAATAGGCAAGGACACGTTATGAATTACTTGTGCCACTTTGACTTGGGGACTTCACAGTTAATTCTTGTTAGTATAATCCTTTGGTAGGTGTACACAAGATTGTAACCTCTCCTAGTATCCTACTCAAGTTCAAAACAAGTTTTTCATTCACTTCTTTGGTATTAAAATTGAAACTAAAATATTGTTTCAAGCACCATTTGTGAAGAATTTTCACCAGGTGGCGAAAACAAAAGTTTACACTGATGAAGGTAACACATGAGCAACTGCACCAAGTGATCACCAGTTAAATTTTCTGGAGTAAAAAGAAATGGTCATGGGAGGGATCAAAGTATGCCTCTTTAAATGTACTCATTTCATGACTGGAACTGTAATCTCTGTTTACCTTTCTACTACTGCTTTGGTGCTATTTTAAAAGGGTTTCATAGAATTCTCCCCAAAGAACACAAAGTACGGTAAATGCAGTACTGCCACTCTGATCTGGCTACGATCACGAAAGGCAACTAAGAAAGGCAATAAGGCCAATTCCAGAAATAGCCAATATGTCCTGTGCTCCTTCACTCTCTTGAATTTCATCAGTAAATTCAAACATTTTCCTTATTTTTTCACTAAAAAGGGATATATTTTTACTGTTGTCAAAAGTGTTCCCAAAAAGGCTTCCTGCTCTGCCTTTGTCCAAAATATGTCAGAGGCATATAGGTCAAGGTTTACAGTTTGGCAGTTTGTGCGAATCAAAGCAGTTGTAGTTTATGGAAGAAGTCATGGTTAACCTAACCATGGCTTACAGCAGTGTGTGATCTCAGTCACTCTTTCCAGCCTTAGATAGTGGAGAGCATAGAAACAGGCTCCCTTGATGGCCTTTTAAGAGTAATCATTGACTTACCCAAACTCTGATGCCTTCAGGTTTCTTCTTAGATTTATCAGTGTCCTTTGTTTACCAAGAATAAATCTGATGCTGAATTTAGCAGACTCTGTGCAGGATCAACCTTTCAGATGTAACCACAAGTTGAAATGAATTATGAAATGAAATGCTGGCCTCTTATTTTCTGGTAAGAAACGGAAGTTAAAACTTCTGACATCCATATTCAGTTTCTTCCGCCCCCCCCCCCCCC